GGCATTTGAAACCTGCAAATTGGACAGTAATGGCTGTTCTTCAGCCATTCTCGTATGCACCGTCCATGAAACACATGTAAACACGGCATTTGCAAACCAAATTCCCCCTTCTTTCTCAATCCCTCCAAACAGATCACACAATTTCTCGCCTGTTCTTCGATTCCGATTCTCCTCATCTCCGTTACCGCTCTGCCGTACGCCGGCACCATTCCGCTTTCTCCCGCCGCCACGCTCATTCCATCCGGCCTAATTTCATGGCGCGCCTCGACGCTCCACAGAATCAAATCCACCATCATCGCGAATACTCTGTTCGAGCTTCTCGAATTCGCTTCGTCTCTGATCTGAATCCACCGCTCGATTAGGGCGTCGGCGACGATTTCGGCGTCGATTTCTTGCTCGAATCGGTCGAAACTCCAGGCGAGGCGGCGGAAGAGGGAGTCGCCGCCGCGATTGAAGATTCCGGCCGGGAATTGGTGGTCGCAGAGTGGAATTCGTAGGTCTTGCCATTGCCATACCAGCGTCCGTTTGCCATCCTCTGCTACGTCGAAGCAGCAGCGGTGTATAACCTACCACTAAAAGTTATATTATAACCTCTTTGAATATATAATATAAAGAAATTATTTTTGGTTTTTTTTAATTAAACTTAGAAACATTATTTTCACTTGAATCTAAACCCAAGAAAAAAAAGTGGTTTAACAAATTTGTTTTTGTTTTTTTGAAATTTGGCTACGAATTTAAACATTGTCTCGAGAGAAGTGAAAGTTTTTTTTTTTAAATGCAATAATAAAAGGGTGGAGATTTGAACTCACGACCTTTTAACTAGAGATACATGACGATTCTGAATTGTGAATAATGGTGAAAGAAATGTTCGACCTTGCATGGATAAATAGATGATCCCTAGAGTTGTTACCTTGATTGTAGAGTGTGCATCAGCTTGAATTTAAGCACATGATGGGAAGTCTAATTTGGAGCCTATGACGTATATTAATTCCCCTGTGCAGCACAACACCATAAAAAGAATTTAGGTTTTTTAAGGGCAAGGTTGGCCCAAATTTTGGTGGCTAAAACAATCAGTGTGTTTGCACTATGGTCAGAAAGCAAAACCTTCATTGATTTGACAATGAAAATACCATTTTTAGTTTTATGTTTAAAAAGTTAGAAAATTAAAAATATATATTAGGGAGAAAAAATTATAAGTACAGTAGAGATGACAGTAGTATAGGACGAGATTGAGGATGTCCTTTTCCATTCTCGTACTCGTAGAAAAATTTTAATCTTTCATCTCCACCTTGTTCTTCGAGAATCTAGATCCATGTTAAAGAATACTTATTTGGTGATAGGGAAAGTTATTTTATAATTAATTTTAATTATTTTTAGAATTTAAAAATAAAAAAGTGTAATAAATATATATTAGTTATTTTTAGAATTATTATTTACTAGTATAAATATTTAGTTTTAAAAAATATTTAATATTTTATTCATAATTGAGTAAATATGTCAATAAAATATATATTAAATATTTAAAAAATAAAATCGGAGATTGGGTCGAGACATGCATTTCTTATTTTTGGAGCACGGACCCAACTAGGAGTGTTCATGGGTTGGGTTAGGTCGGGTTAGGGGATTTTTTTGGACCAACCCGATTTTTCGGGTTGATCAGATCACAGAACCGGTGGAACCGAATATGATGGCCAACCCAACCCAACCCGACCCAAAATTTTTGGCTTGGATCGGGTTGGGTCACCGGGTTGTTATTAGTTTCAAGTTCCAGATCAAAACACATCACCTTAGTAGATCCAAACACATCACCTTAGTAGATCCAAACAAATCATCGTAGTTTCAAATTCCAGATCTAAACAAACCAAGAGAAGGAAATAATAGAGAAAATCCACTCACATTAAAAGGAACAAAAAATACCCAACTTATAACATTCATACAGTCACACAATAGATATGGAGATTGATGCAATGGGCAACAAACAGCGCGACAAGCGAAGGAAGACGGCTTGCAGCAAYGGACGATGGTGATGGGCCTTCAGCAACMGACGAGGCGACGAGCTTGCGGCAACGAACGAYTGCGACATGCGACGGATAGATAGCGACGATGAACAAGATAAAATCGTGATAGATGAGAGAAGTGAAATCGAGTTTGAGGGATGAGTGATAAATTGAGAGATGAAATCAGAGATTAAAGACGTGAGATGAAGAATAAATCTGAGGAGATGAAAGATATGAGATGGAAGGGAAATCTGAGGGGATGGAAGAGGGGAGATCGAAGATGGAGGCGCATAATGAGAAGAAAAACTCTAAAACTTAAATATATATATAATATAATATAATATTAARATAATGATTTCGGTTCGRTTCGGTTCGAACCRATTTTTTCTTAGTCGAACCTGCGAACCGAACCGAACTGATCGGTTCACAGAAAATTTAACCCAACCCAACCCGAACCTTTATCTAACCCAGCCCAACCCTTACGGTTTAGGTTGGATTGGTCAGGTTCATTGGATTGTCAGTTTTCTTGAACACCCCTAGACCCAACCTTGCAAGAATTTTTGTCATCCCTAAAGCAGAGACATGAAACGACTAGAGAGATAAAAATAAACTTTTGAAAGATAAATTTTAGAGAAATAAAGAAAAAGATTTGGAAAAAAAATTAGTGAAAAAAAGTTAAAGATAAAAAAAAAAACTTTTTCTCGAGAAAAACGAGTAAAGCTTGAGAAGAAAAGATACATTAAAGACAAATAAAGAAATTAGAAAGAAAAAGAAAAATTATAATATGCAAAACTTTAGAGATAAAAGCAAGATTCGRGAGGTAAATAAATACAAAGAGAAAAAATTGAAAGAGAAGAGRAGATATCATTTTAGAGGAAAAATAGATTAGAAAGAAAAATAAAAATTATAAAAGACAAATCTTAAAGAGAGAAAAGTTCAGAAAAATACTAAAATTTTAAATTCAAAAAAATATTAAAATTTTTAGAGAAAGAAATAAGAGTGATCCGTTAGAACAAAAAGAAAAAATACATAGAGAAAAAAATTTTGGAGAGTGAAAAATAATGATAAATATTTAAAATATTAKWATTTTAGAGAGGAAAAAATAAATGTTTTAAAGAAATATTTACAAAGAAAAATATTTTAGAATGACAAAGGTATTTGTTAGAGATAAATATATGAAATAAAATAATTAAGTATTAAGAGAAAAAATAAGATTTTAAAATTTTTTTTCCTTTTTTTTTKRAAWTT